AAGTTTACTTCCTCTTTCTTTCCCCGGGCTTTTTCCCCCGCCCAGTCTAAGCTAAGTATTAACCCAATAAATGCCAAACAGTTTTGCATATTGTCAAAGCAAGAATATACAGTATTTGCAGCATTGACAGCTCCCTTGTTAAAACGCACACGGCTTGTTAAGTGAACATGAGATATCTCAGGGTGGGAAAGACCATGGAGGGCCTACTGATGGAACAAGCTCCCAAGGCCTCCCTGACCCACTAAGATACCACATGCTTCCCCCTCTCTTTCTGCCATGCCAGACTCACCTGGAAAAGATCCTTCTCCTCTCTGCCGCAGTTCCTCCTGCTGCCCAGAGTTGAGGCTGGGGGACGCTTCCGCAGCGCCCCCCCCCCTCGTGCAGCCTGTTTGGGCCTGGAAAAGGATTCTGGAGCCCGGATTGGGCTGCGGGGGGGGGGGGGGCAGAAGAATTCCCTGGCCTTAGATCTGGGCAGCAGCTATCTGGAAAATGCCGCCGGAGGCACGTGGAAGTGTCCCCCAGCTTCAGTTCTATTCTCAGTTGCAGAGAACAGAGGCCCAAAGTACCATGAGATCACACGAGATCAGTAGCATGAGATCTTGCCCCACTGATCTCGTGTGACTGATCTCGTGTGATCTTGCATTACTTTAGGCCTCCATTCTCTGCGAACGCACCAAACGTCTGGATCAGCCAAGAAAGCGAAGGATCTCGATCTTCGTAGGGTGAGTATTGAAGACCTGGTGCCTAGACAGACCCGGGGCAGGGGCGAGGAGGGAATAACCAGAGTGAATGTTGCAGAGCCATTGTGGTCACTCGTAATGGCAAACGACTGCTGTATTCGTAACTTGCTCGTAAGCACTAGGGGTGCTCATCACATAACTATGAACGAGTGTTAAGTGAACACGAGTGTTAAGTGAACACTTGTAACACGGGGATTACCTGTATACAATAGTTTGGAGGCAGCAAGAAAAAAAGTTTACTAATGTATTTTCTGACATTCCAAATGTAAGAAATTACAGTTGGCAGCTTTTGAACTTCTAATCTGTAGTGCATATCTATATATACATATATATGTTTGAAAGTAATGAACAGATTAAAGGCTATAGTACCTTTCACTAGTAGTGATAATAGTTACTGTTTTCACTTGTCATGTTTTAGTATGAGGTAAAATATTAAATAAAAAATTCTACTTTTCAATGTGTTTTAAAGGTGTTTTAATGATTGTACATAAAAGCATTCAGAAGTTCAAGTATAATTAAAGTTGAAACAATGATTATATCTTTGAATAGATGTTTGTGGAGGGTGTCTTTTGTATTAGTATGTGTTTAGGATTTTTATCTCTCAATTATGGGATCAGTTTTGTTTTTTTCCAAGCTACTATGACAATACTGTTTGATTATTGTAATCAAAATAATGCCCTACAAATTGCTGTGTTTTCTCTCTTGCTTTCCAAGAAAGGGAATAATTTCTTGCTGCCTCAGTGCATTTATTTCATAATTTAGAAAAGTATGTACTTGTCCCAAAGAAACCCCAGTGAATTATACATGTTACTTATCTTTGTGCATCGTTTTCTGTGCAGGCAAATGTCAGTCAGCTGAGGACTTTCCTTTATGCAGTGAAATTAGCTCATCAAGGCACCAAAGAGGAAACTTTACCACTTTCTAAGCTGATATCACCAAAGGCCTCTGAAGTTGAAAAACCAAAAACCAAGATGACCATAACATCAAAAAAGGATTATCCTTTAACTCGGAATTTCCCATACTCTCTGGAGTATCTCCAAGCCTCCTATTGCAAATTAGCTCGTCTAGACATGCGTATGCTTTGCCTAAGAAGCCTTCGAAAACTGGACTTGAGCCACAATAGTATTAAACAGCTCCCAGCAACTCTTGGGGACATTGTTTGCCTTCAGGAGCTCATTCTACAGGACAATCACTTGGAGTCATTCAATGTGGCTCTATGTAAATCAACTCTCAAAAAATCACTTCAGTCTCTGGATCTCAGCCAGAATAAAATCAAAGCGCTACCTGCACAGTTTTGCTACTTGCAGAAACTCATACATTTGAAGTTAGATGATAATAATCTGATTAGATTGCCATTCAAGATTGGTCAATTGTCGCATCTCCGTTTCTTATCTGTGGCGCGTAATAAACTCCCATTTTTGCCCAGTGAATTTGCTAAACTCTCACTTGAGAGCCTGGATTTATTTGGCAATCCTTTTGAGCAGCCAAAGCCACTTGTTCCTGATATACACTTAAAAATACCACTGACTTTACTAGAATATTCTGCAAGGGCAATCATCAATTACAGGTAAAAGGGGCAGGCTCTAATTTAAACCATTTTCTCAATTTCCTAGTTTAAAATGTTAATTGGCCAGAGGAATCATGAGAAGCATGATGGGGAAGTTTTTTGGTTTGTTTGCTATGGGCTACAAGAGCTATGGAATGGGTTCAGTTGCACAAGGGAGAGAGAAATATATGCTTTACATATAGAGTCACAGAGCAAGATATTGACTTATACTGGTGCTCAGATAGATATATTAGTCTGAGAATATTGGAAATATTTGATTGAAAAGCTTAATTATAACATACTCTTTATTAGCATATATGGTACTGTTATACTAGCAAGGAGACTACAAAGCTAATTCAGATTAGTAGTAGATTCAGAACTGGCAGGAATGTGACCGCCCACACAAAGCACCAGCTCTTCTCCCCACTGAAGTGGTTTACTTCAGTGGGGAGAAGCTGAGGTGAGTGACAGGAGCTCATCATGCTATGCAGTGCTGGGGCTTGAACAGCTGGTGGAAAGACCATCTTCAAAGTCATTAAGCCACTGAGACACCGAATAAAATCAATCAGTCAAACCAATATTCCGAAATAATTTAGATGGTTAATAAGCACAATACAAGTGCTCATATTGCATTTCCCCACTGAAAATGGTCAAATTATGCAATTTTGTCTCATGCAGTGGCAAGATAGGCCTGTGTTCATTTTCATGTTGCAAATGAGAGCTTTGTTGAGATAGCTCCATATAATTTTATGTGCAGGTAGTCCTCGGCTTATGACCACAATTGAGCCCAAAATTTCTGTTGCTAAACAAGACAGTTAAGTGAGTTTTCTTGACACATTTATTTAGTAACATGGTTGTTAAATGAACCTGGCTTCCCCATTGGCTGGTTGTCAGAAGGTTGCAAAAGGTGATCACATGACTCTGGGACACTGCAACTATCATAAATATGAACTAGTTGCCAAGCATCCGAATCTTGATTGTGTGACTTTGGGGATGCTGCAATGGTCGTAAATGTGAAAATGGCCATAAATCACTTTTTTCAGTGCCATTGGAACTTTGAAAGATCATTAAACTAATGGTTGTAAGTCAAGGACTATCTGTATTATAATTTTAATTGTTTGCTATTTTTGGTATGCCCCTTCTTTCAGGGCAGCCTCATTATTTGATAATTTTTTTAGGGAAATAACTAATATGAATGTAATTTTCTTTTTTGTAGGATCCCACGTGATTGCCACATTCTTCCTTATCACCTTTGTGATGATCTTGACATGTCAAAAACTTGTCAGTGTGGACGGGCTTGCTTGACCTGCTTCATTCAAACAACAGTGACTATGAATCTGCACAGTGTGGCACACACAGTTGTTCTTGTGGATAATATGGGAGGCACAGAGGCCCCCATTCTTTGCTATTTCTGCTCTCTCACATGCTATTCTCAGTTTCTAGACAGACATCTGCAAAGTGTGAGGTGATCAGGTTGTAATCTGACAAGTTTTATTCAGCAAATGCTAAATTCTGTTTTGTACTGGAAGAAAAGGAAACAATACGCTGGAACAAGGCTCCTCATCTGTAAACCATCTCCTTTTTTATTATCTGAAGGCTGCTTAAAGTGTTTAAACACTTTTAAGAGATATTATCTCTGATTCCAGGTGCAAGTTCCTTCCTAACTCCTGTTTAATGCTGTGAATGGTATAGCCAGAGCTCTCAACTGGGGAAAAAAATCCTCTTCTACTCTTATTTTAGTATTTTTATAAAATCATTAGTAATTTTTTTTCTGGGTAAACAGATATTTCAGACAAGCTGTAAAACATGCAGTCTTTTGAATGCAGAATTTGCAATCATTTTTGAAAAATTCTTAAATTTATAAACTATTCTTTGAAAAGGGGAAGCACTGAACTGATGACAATATTTGGTATTCATTTTTAAAAATAAATGCACTTTGTGCAATCTATATATGCCTATCAAAGGAAAGTTTGTAACATCAATGTACCCAATTATATTTACAAACACTTTGATTCAAAAGCATAGTATTTTTAAAGCTGTTTACTATAAAGATTTTTCTGGGCTCAAAGATCACCTCAGATGGGGACTGCAGCCAAGAAATTAAAAGACGCTTGCTCCTGGGGAGGAAAGCTATGGAAATCTAGACAGCATTCTAAAAAGCAGAGATATCACCCTGCCAACAAAAGTGCGTATAGTGCAGGCCATGGTTTTCCCAGTTGCAATGTATGGCTGTGAAAGTTGGACCATAAGAAAGGCTGAGCGCAAAAGAATTGAGGCCTTTGAACTACGGTGCTGGAGAAGACTCCTGCGAGTCCCTTGGACTGCAAGGCGTTCAAACCGGTCAGTCCTAGAAGAGATCAACCCCGACTGCTCTTTAGAAGGCCAGATCTTGAAGTTGCAACTCAAGTACTTTGGCCACCTAATGAGAAGGAAGGATTCACTGGAAAAGGGCCTAATGCTGGGAAAGATTGAGGGCAATAGAAGAAGGGGACGACAGAGAATGAGATGGCTGGATGGAGTCACTGAAGCAGTAGGTGTGAATTTAAATGGACTCCAGAAGATGGTAGAGGACAGGAAGACCTGGAGGAACCTTGTCCATGGGGTCGCGATGGGTCGGACATGACTTCGCAATTAACAACAACAACTATAAAGATCACTTTACATACTAGTTTGTATGCAATAATATATTGACTATAAAAAATGTGTTTTTATGATGTTGTAGACAATAATTTACAGACATCAAGATTTTAAAATTGGTATGACAAAATTTATTACCAGGACAGATGAAATTGTGCTTAGAAAAAAACACAAGTTCTTTAAATACACCCTGAATCTAGAAATTTGTTTCTAGTCTCAAGAGAAAAATACTGAAGTCCTCTTCTTGCCACAGGAAATAACACTTAATTTTAATATTTTAAAAATCTAGAAACCAGGAAACTGATTTCTAGTACCACCTTAGGCAAGAAAAACTAGCTGGGTGACTTTGAGCAGTCTCTCTCAGCATATTTTACCTCACACATATATTCTATGTCGGGGGTCCTCAACCTTGGCAACTTTAAGACTTGTGGACTTCAACACCCAGAATTCTGGGAGGTGGTCCACAAGTTTTAAAGTTGCCAAGGTTGTGGACCCGTTCTATGTGCTACATCATTGTTATACTTTGGGGTAAAGATGAGCTGACAAAGAGAAATATGAATTTTGAGGGAGTTAACTGCATTTCAAGAAGGAGCAGGTAGGAAATGAAAAAATGTTCTCTCTAGTTCTCCAGTTCTCTGGGCCATCTTTGGTGGCCTAGAGCACATTTATTCTGTGCATATGATTAACTGATTATGGACTATTAAGTCATTGTCAACTCTCAGGATGATCTGTTCCTAACTTGATCTTTCAGGTCTTGCCTATACACGTACTGCATGGCCAATAAGCTAGGATAGTTAACCTGCCTGGAGAGAATAGTTGTCCATTGTCTACGGAAACAATGAAAGTTTGGGGGTCCTTGGTGCTCCCTGAGCTTGTTTTTTTTTTTTTTTTTTTTTTTTTTTTTTGCAGCGGTTTCATTACCCAACTAGGTGACCGTCTGTAAGAAAACAAACCAAGCTCAGAGAACACGAAGGAACCCCACAGTTCAATCCTGACCTACAACTATTGTCTTCTATTGCTTCAGTAAAAGTTATTTAAAAGCCCAGAAAATTTGGACAGCAGAATATTTGCTCTTTTTGCCTCCTACCAATCAGATTCATTTCGGGAGCGTCAGTGAGAAGCGACTCCCTTTTTCCAAGAGCGCCTCTTGCAGTATAGAAAACGCTCAGTCCAGATCACGGCCTCTCCAACAAACAAAGCGGTAGTCCGGATCCGGAAGCTGCGGCTGGAGAGGGAGGTCCTGGGGTTGGTGCAGCCCCGACGGAGGTAGCGTGGCCGGCTGCTGTGTCCGGGGCGGAGCCGGTCAGATCCCTCCTTCGCTTGCTTTTCATCCGGCTGCGCCGCCTCTTTCATGTCCGGCCAAGAAGGCGAGGGGGAGGATGCGCGCGCGTCGGCAGCGGCCAGAGCAGGCGGGCATCCGAGAACCCCGGGGTGCTCAATTGTTCCGCTGATGCGCGCCAAGGAGCCGGGGGCCGCGGCAGGCCCCGCTTGAACCACCACAAGTGAGGAACGAGGAAGGAACAGGAGAACCGGAACCTCCCGGACCATGAGACTCCGCATCTACAAGCGCAAAGTGGTGGCGCTGCTGCTGGTCTTGGGCGCCGCCGCCGCCTGTGCCTTAGTGCTTTGGGGAGGGACAAGCGAGGCCGGCGGCGGCAGCGGCAGCAACAGCAGCAAACGGGAAGAACCCGCGTCTTCGCCGCCGCTCCTGGGAGATCGACCGTTGCCACCGGCGGTTACCACCAACAGCCTTCCAGTTAACGGGCGTCATTCCAATTCGTCTTGGATATCGCGGGAAGAAGCGCCGGGGCTGAATCGCACCCTGCACTACCGGTCTCTGGTGTACCGACTCAACTTTGATCAGCCGATTCGCAACGAGGCGCGTTGGCGGCCCGGCGCCGCCGGCCCCGGAGAAGTGGCCGTGGCGCTGGTGGTGCAGGTGCATGAGCGCACCGAGCACCTCCGGATCCTGTTGGACTCGCTGCGACGCGCGACAGGCGTGGAAAAAGTGCTCCTCGTGCTTAGCCATGACGTGTGGTCCGCCGAGTTGAATGCGCTGGCTTCTTCCGTGGACTTCTGCGCTGTCCTGCAGATTTTCTTTCCGTTCAGCTTGCAGCTCTATCCGGGCGAATTCCCAGGCACGGACCCACGCGATTGTCCACGCGACGTGGGCCAAGCGGCAGCGCTGCGAATGAGCTGCCTCAACGCCCACTACCCCGATGCCTTTGGCCATTACCGTGAGTCTAGTTTCACCCAAACCAAACACCACTGGTGGTGGAAGCTTCACTTTGTGTGGGAGAGGGTGCGTGCTCTGCGGGAGCACCCAGGCTTGGTGGTCTTCTTGGAGGAGGACCACTACCTGGCCCCTGACTTCTTCCATGTTCTGCAACGCCTCTGGGCCCTGAGACAGCGTGACTGCCCTGAGTGCCAGTTGCTGTCCTTGGGCACTTATGCCACTGTGCACGGCAGCTTTGCTGGCCGGGCTGACAAGGTGGAATTGAAGACATGGAAGTCCACAGAGCACAACATGGGCATGGTGTTTGCTAGGGACACTTACCAGCAACTGATTGGCTGCACTGATGCCTTCTGCACCTATGATGATTACAACTGGGACTGGACTCTTCAGCATTTGACTGTAGGATGCCTTCCTCATTTCTGGAAGGTGCTGGTTCCAGAGATCCCTCGAATCTTCCACACTGGTGACTGTGGCATGCACCACAAAAAATCTTGCCAACCCTCTGTTCAGAGTGCCAAAATAGACTCGCTCTTAAGTAGCAATCAACAATACTTATTTCCTGAAACTGTAACTATTAGCAAGCGGTACTCAATGACCCATTTGAGCCCCCATGTGAAAAACGGGGGTTGGGGTGATATTCGGGACCATGAACTCTGTAAAAGTTACCGAAGATTACAGTGAAAGAAGGAACATTGAGTCTTTATCTCTGTTGGACTGACTAGTCTTTTAAATACACAAACATAAAATATTTGGAATTTGCTTCTAGTTTAACATGGACAGCAATGATTACAGATGTCATTTGGTAATTAATTTTGGACACTGAATAATTATGTGGAGCAATGCTCAAAATAAAAACTATAAATGCCTACTTGTTTACTGGAAATAACAGAGGTCTTTTTTTTACTACAGATCTAGTCCCTTTTATAAGGTATTCCCAATATCTTCAAACTTGTTTTTAACAAAGATAAAAAAAGATTGTAGATGCAGTTGTTTCTATGGCGGCCCTGTCAATCCTTTGCTATCAATGTCCTTGACTTTTCAAAAGTTAGCTTTTAGTTTATTTTGTAACTTACTCTTTCCCCCTCTTTATTCTTACAGTTTGATCTTCTGCTCACTCAGTATTCCATTTCCATAACCTTTTATAGGCTTGCTTGAAATTTTATACCTTAATACTTGCAAAAAGCATTATCTTATTTTCTGTGTGCTTATATGAGAAAAATTGAGATTGGTTTCTTTCAATGTGAAATTATGCAGCTTTTTTAATTATGCCAAAATAAAAAATCATGTTTTTGTAATACAAACTTCAGTGGTTTGATAGGATCCACTTTATTTGAATTTAAATATCGCAAATTAAACATTTTAATACAGTAATGTTAGCATAATGCAGTGCTAAAAGTAAGACATGTAAGCTGCTCTTTTTTAAAATATACTATTTACTTCATATAGAAACAGTTTAACTTTCAGATTTGGCAGCCTAATATAATTATAGAGCTTTGAGTATAGAATTTGAATGTTAGAAAAAAAATTAGAACATTCTAAAATACCTCTATATGTTTTAGGCTTAATACCCTAAAAAAAACATTGCTTGTGGAAACAGTCACAACTTAATTAAACTATATGCTCAGCTCTACAGTAGAATTTGTCTCAAATTTCTTCTAAGCAACCCACATAAAAGTTCATTATGCTAACAAACCTTCTAAAATACATCCTTTGTTTTCAATGAAAAAAATCCAAAATGTATTGCTTGTCCAAATTCCAGCAAAGGTACAGACAACAGAAACAATTGGGACAACTACCTTAGTCTTAAAAATACATTTTTGATAAATTATATTTTAAAAATGACATCCAGGTGTGTATTAAACTAGGAGGAATTAACAAAAAAACCTACAAACCCTTCTGTATCTTGTTTTTTTTGCTTTTCTGAAATATATTTTTAAGATTACAAAAGGATTTATTAGATTTTATAAAATCTCTTACAATTTCATTTGAATATGCAGACAGAACTTTTAAGTTAAATGGATGAAAGACTGCACACTAATTTAAATCATTCTTACTTAGAAGGGAGTTTTGTTAAAATTTCTGGTCTGTATTATCTGCAAAATGGAACAATCCAGTTAAAACTAAGCACAGCTAGGAACCACATAAATCACTGATGAAAGTTCATTTACTTCATGGAACCTTTAATCTTGATTTTGTAGTGTTTGCTTCATGCACTTGTGATGTCTCTTGCTAATTTCCAGCAAATAATAACAGCGCTGAAGGCCATTTTCCACCTAATGGATAATTCTAGGGCATAATTAAAAGTTGGCTTAAGCAAGGAAATTTAATTAAGTTGACATTTAGAACAATTCTCTGTTATTGCATACTGTGTAGTTTTTGATATTATGATAGTTTAACTGGATTTCAATAAGACAATTTTAATGTGATCTGCATATTCAAAGGGATAACATAATTTCAAATATATATTATCTAAAAATATATATTTTCATGGAGGTACCTAGCTTATTGTTTGCATAGGTAAGTCTTCTGATGATTATTTAATGACATTACTTGTTGACTTAACAAAAAAAAGTTCAGCCTGCTATGGTTGTTGCGACAAAATAGGACAATGCTTACAAAATGTTTTTAAATTAAGCTCTGAAATTAATTCTTTGAAAATTTAAGTAAATGAAATTGACAATCTGGAAGCATTAGAATCCTAGCCACTTTACAAAAAAAAATCAATTTGGTTTTAATAGTTTCATTTTACAGTTATCACTTTTTCATACTACTTGAAGAATTTCCCCAATGTGACATTAAAAAGGCTCCTGAAAGACTGAAAAGGTTTTCAAACCATGTAGCAATTAATTGTTAATAACCTTTATTCTCTTGCCTACCTATAGGGTGCAAGAACAGCATAAGAACTTGCAAGCTGTGCAAATACACATTTGAAAGCAATTCTAACAGCAAAGGTCTTGTATGAAATGTCATCTATTTTTGGGAGAATGTTTACTGGGTTATTATTTGTCATTTGGCTGAAAACTGGAGAAAACAGAAGGGGATGTTAAAAATAAAGAACTGGAAACCATCAGAATTAGATTTTGCAGATGTGAATGGTCTGTGTAGTTATGTTCCTTTCAGACAATCGTCTCAGAAATGTTATATTCAGTCTTCCCAGTTAACCATGGCTCATAAAGGAGTTACATGTTTGTGCAAAAAACATGCTTATAGTTTACTTATAAGCCAAGGTGTTTGCAGATTGTTTGCAGATTCTGCAAGCTTTTATAACTTGTGTCATCTAATTCAGACCAGGATTTGCCTGAGAAATCTGTATTGCTTTAATGAACTGCTTATTTATTTTTGAAATTCAGTAATACATTACTGACATCCAAATCTTTGAACTTTATAAATTAACTAAATGAACAAGCAGTTTCTATTCCTTTTTTCTTCCATCAATTGAATTTCAATTTCTGCATAACTTTGACTTTTTGTACACTTCACAAGTAAATGCAGAATTTGAGGTAGCTGAAGACTTGGTAAGAACCTTACAAAACTGATTTAATCCAGTTCATACAGCAAAGCATTTTCAAAGGTGACTGCACACTGTGTTCTGTGACAGCTTATATACTCCACACTACCATCTTGCATATTAGTTTCCTTTAATGGAGTGGGAGTTAACCTGTTTAACTCTTCTTTGTTCTGTGAGGACACCTTATGTTCATTCACTTCCTCTCCCTCCTGAAGCTCAGTTTGCACTGAGGATGTGGCTCTTTTGCCTGTTGCAAAAGAAAGTCCTGACTCATGTAATTTATTTATCTGCAACTTCCCCAGAATCCTCCCACTGGGATCACTAGGGTCAAACTCCTTACAATAGCTTGGTCCCTTGCCAACTTCCCCCATTGTCTGCATAGTTGCAAATGAACCTGAAACACTCCTGGTTTGTTCAGAGCAATTTTCTTCATTTGTTAAAAGTTCGCTGCCGTGTTCTTGTTCACTGCCCTCTCTTTTTTCTCTTCTGCCAGATTCAAGGCTATCATTCTCTCTCTGTTGAGTAGAAGAGACAGAAAGCATTTCACTGTTTCAACCTAATAAACAAGCTCATTAACCAAACAAGAACAACTTGCATTTCCTCCCTATCACACAAACATCTGTGCTCCTATCTTCTTGCTATACTTCCTGTAAACATAGTTGGAGAGTTTCTTAGCCCTCCTAATCCTTTGAGTTAGAGCAGTGGTTCTCAACCTTTTTAATGCCGCGACCCCCCAGCCGGTCATAAGTCGAGGACTACTCAACTGGTGCAGCACCGTTTGCAGAATGGGACTTGGCGGGCTCAGCAGGGCAGAGACAGCCTGGACAATTCCTATTGGCTTTTGAAAGCCAATAGAATTAGACTCTATTCAAGAGAGTCTATTCTATTGGCTTTCAAAAGCCAATAGAATAAAAGGGAGTAGCACAGCTAAGGAAAAGGGGGAAAAAATGGTGGACTGCGTTGTTTGGCAACCCCCGTGAAATGGTCATTCGACCCTAAATGGGGTCCCGACCCACAGGTTGAGAACCACTGAGTTAGAGTTTCCTAATCCTGGCAGCAGAATATAATTACCAAAGCAATGGGGGCTTGCTTAGTAGCAATGCTGCATTATATCAGACAGGTGGTTAGTGTGTATTTAGCAAAAAGAATCATGATTAATGTATGCAAAATGCCTTCTGCTTACTCAACGCCTCAGCACCATATGGGCTTGGAGAAATGTTTGTTCCTGGAGAAATTTTATGATTCTAGATGAAGAAGTAGTTGATATGTTTGGTCTTTCAGCCTCTGTAATGTGCCAGTTGGTTCTACTTTGTTAATTATTTAAATATTAAATGGTCATATTGATAGCCTAGCTCTATGAAAAATTTAATACCTTCAAATGCTTGTGAGGAGTATGACTGGGAAGGGAAAAACGAACAAATTTGCTTCTAAGTTCTCAAGGTCCAATTTGCCAAGATATAAATTAATTATTCTCACCCAACAATGTTCTTCAAGGCTACATTCAAGTGCCTATCAGTCAAATCAAGTTGTACTACTTGAAATATTTCAGCCTTAGGTAAAGGTAAAGGTTTTCCTGTCCAGTCATGTCTAACTCTAGGGGGCAGCGCTCATCTCCATTTCTTGGCCAAGAGAGCCAAGACATCACATCTTGTGGTCATGTGGCCAGTATGACTATATGCCAAGGTGCACAGAACACTGTTACCTTCCCATTCAATGGTATCTATCTACTCACACCTGCATGCTTTTGAACTACTAGGTCAGTGGTGGCGAACCTATGGCACGGGTGCCAGAGGCAGCACTCGGAGCCCTCTCTATGGGCACACGTGCCGTTGCCCCAGCCTTGCCTCCCCCGTGACCCCCTCCTCTCCAGCAGCTCCCCTGAAGGAGAGTCGTCCCCGAGCATGGCCCACACGGAGCAGTGCAGCCAAGGACATGGCAGCCGGGCAGCATAGACAAGAGTGCCCTCACACCCCATCGTGCACAGTTGATGCTGCAGGGCGCGGGTAGAGGGTGTGACCGCCACAGCGCTGCTGGGCTGCCTGGGTGATCTACGGCAGGCCCTGGAGGCAGTGAGTGGCCCTGTGGGCAGGCGGGGCAGAGGATGGGGTGAGAGGGGCAGGGGGTGGAGTGGGGCGGGGCCAGTTTTTGGGCACTCAGTCTCTAAAAGGTTCACCATCACTGTACTAGGTGGACAGGAGCTGGGACAAGCTTACCCCATTGATCCAGGCCAGTGATGGTGAACCTTTTAGAGACCAAGTCCCGAAAACTGGCCCCATTCCCTCTCCACCCCCTGCCCCGCCCCTGCTCCGCCCCACCCCATCTCCTGCCCTGCCTGCCCGCAGGGCCACTCACCGCCTCCAGGGCCCGCTGCAGAT